ATGAAAGAATGAAATGAAGTTTGTTTGGTTGGTGGTGGTTGGGCATCTGCCTGGCAAGTAGGCCACTAGGTTTTCCAGTTCTCTTGCCGGGAATGTTCAGTTGCTGTGCGCACAGGAGCAGGGCTGAGAAGACAGGTCACCCACTTCAGAGCATGTAGAGTCACTGCATTCTCTTGGCTTATGGGAGATGTGACTTGAAATATGTTTGTGTAGATGACGGAACGGAATTAAATTAATTTTCACTTTCTGGATAAAATATTGTAGTTCTGTAGCAGATGAATGGACATGGATTGTATTCATTGACAATAGCCCTTTGGCATGCTTTGTTCTGGCTCTCCTCGCTCCTGCCCCCCTCCCCTCCCATCTGTAGGTCATGTCAGGACCAGCAGAACTGTTTTCTAATGAGCATTTGATTTGCTGCAAAACGTTCTGTGTTTCTGTCAGTCAGAATGGTGCAGTCGTGATGAAGTTGATAGTTGCTTTCCCTGTTTTGATAAATTCTCATGTTTCTGTTGCCTGCAGTGGAGATTGTTTTGAGACCAAGGGCATGCCACAGATTGGTGGTATTTGTTCCTGACTTAACCAGAGTCAGGACAGTGTGATGTGTCTGCACGTTTTGTATCTGTGTTATGTTGATATTTTGATAAATAGACAGAATCCTTGAGCGTCTTAATTCTGAAATTATAGTACAGCAATTGGAGGACGTACTGTTCGGTGAATCCCTGAGCTGTACTGCTAATAGAGCAGCTAGTGCTTGAAATGGAGTGGTACAGCACATTGCTGCATTTTGATTTGGAGGAGCATCTCAGAGACGCGTTACTAGCCATACATTTATATTTTGAATTACAGAACCTGGGGACTCAGCAGGAGCCTACCCCTCTTCTTTAGAGGCAAAAATAACGCAAACCAGATGTTTGGCAGTAGCCTGCTGTGTTATGGGACAGCGTGTTGCATGGTGCCTGAGGGAACTCAGCTTTATCTTGCCAGGATCAGCAGATTAGTTCCTTGCTTTTGTTGAGTTTGTGCTGGGAGGGGGCACTGCCTTGTACGGGAAAAGTTGACAACTGCAGGGAGTCAGTGGTGTCTTGTTTGCACAGGACAAATGTACTGGCAGTGAAATCCTGCCCTGTTGATGAGGTAGATTGCAACCTCTAAGTTTGGAAAGGTCCTTGCTGAATTAGTTTCGTCATCCCCTTTGCTCCTTCCCAATTCCTTGCGTTATTAAATGCACTGTGAAGTTTACAGATAGCTATGAGAATTGGAAAGAAAAATCCTGGTCTTCTCCCTCACTGACCAGCCCTTAGATTTCTCACATCGTTGAAAGTGAAAGGGCATCTGGGTGTGAAAGGGCAAGGAAAAGGAAGGGTTTTGGTGTCCCTTTATCAAGTGGGCAGTCAGTACTCTCTGCATCTTTTTTGGTTTTCACCATTTAAAAAATTATATTTTTTTCAATCCTATTCTTAGAAATGCTATTTAAAACCTTGTGAGCTGAGGATAGTGTTTTATTGCAATAGCATTGCTGTAATGTATATGTTTATTTTGTCTACTTTGACTTCTGAATTCTCTTTTGAATCAGTGCCATTCAGTGCGTATGTCCTGCATCTTTGTTCTTTGATATATAGGCTTGGATTCAGCTGTTCTGATACATATTTTGTTTGCCTATTCAGCAGTTTGCATTTTGTTCTTAGGATCTTTTCTGTCACTTACTGTTCACTGATTGACTATGTGGTTGTGTATTGGTCCTTAAAAATTATTTATTTTTGATTTCCCCGTTCTGGCAATATCCTCAAATGAGAGTATTATTGTTTGGTTGTGGCACACCATATATGAACTAATATCGCATAATTTCAAAAATGTGTGGTGGCTGGATCTAGCAGTTTGTTGATAGAAGGGCAGTAGAAGTATGAGGTTTTTCAATAGCATGTGAATTTACAACTATAAAATGGCAGTATGTTAACAATGAGAGATGAAAATCTTAGGCTGTGCTACTCATAGTGTTGCAGGCATAGTGAAAGGGAGGACAAAAGCAGAATGCTTTCATTTGACTTTCTTTATATAGTACACTTTTAGGGTTTTGAATTAGTAGAATATCTCCTTGTAGAGCTTTAACTTTCATCATGTGAAATATTTGGTATTTACAATATGCTGCTATTATTATAGTTGCTCTGAAAAAGCGACAGATGTTAGGGTATTTTAATTTGAATTCAAGATAGAAGAATTCCCCACTGTGAACCAAACATCGATTCTTGTATACTGAACCTTTAAAACGATGCATTTCACATGCCTCACTGACTGCCTGTAAAAGTAGGTGAGAAAGGGGACTGAAAACAGTCACAAATGTTTTCAAATGGAAGCTGAAATTTTTACCAATCTACGTAAATGTTTTTTAGCAAAGGATTTTTTTTTTTTTATTTAAGAATATATAAAATCAGCAAAGAACACCTGTGTTTCCACATGTGTTATGTGTAATAGGAGTAGTAATGGAGAATCCACAATTCTGTAATGGAAATCAGAAAACAAAATTGGCTTTAGAAAAACAAGTTTAACGTTGCAGGAAATTAAAGCCTAGGATGTGGCTTACCAGTACAGTTAGCCAGTCTAGTGGATAACTGCTATCAGAAATGAAGGAAGGACCTGCTTCCCAGATCCCATGTTTTACATGTTCCCAGCCTTTCTCTCTATCCATTTATTTGTGCTTGTCTGCTTCTGCCATGAACTGATTTAGGGACTTAAAGGGGCAGAAGACTAATTCTAGGAAAAAGAGGAAAGTTACTGATTAATATTCTGCCAGTTCAGATGTCTGATTTCTAAAAATACTATTCTACTGGTGTCTTTTAGAATTTTTTTCTTCTTTAATTCTGCGCCAGTTAAAAATACAGCCGTATGGGTGATTATCACCAGTGTTTTCATATTCTGAAATCCAAAGAAAAATAGCGTCTTGATTCTGTTGTGCTTTATTTTTACAAAATAGATGCACTAAAAAGCAAACTTTTAAAACTGTTACTGAATATTATGCAATATATTTGAATTTAAAAATAGGAAATAGTTATCTCTTTACTCAAATATAAGGAGTTAGGAGAACTCTTCCATTTTTAACATACCACAGCTGAAATCTTTCAAGGATTTTTTTTTCTTTTCTTATTTTGGCACAAATTGATCGTGTGAGAAACTTAATGTCATGTATTTTTACTTCTATTAGAAACCTTGGAGCTTCTTCAACGTGTTGATTTTGAACTTTGTAGAGTAGGCAGTTGCTGGGTTTCTGAGTGTTTTTTTGTTTTGTTCTAAAACTGTATGTGTGTAGGGGGTTGTTAAATAAACATTAGACTTGTCTGTGTGACTGAGGCATTCTCTAAACTTTAGTAATTTGAGCAAGCTTTCTGAAGTTTGTGAAATAACCTTTGTGGATTAGGATTCAGGCATATTTTTCTTATGTTCTGCAGAGAGATTCACTTATAAATGAGCTTCTTATCCAGTTTGTCTTACTTTTATTTCATCATTGATATGGTTGCAGAAATAGAGAGCTTTTCAATACATATCAGTTTATAACCCAAATATGTTTACTGAGAGAGATTGTGTTGCTCACTGACTCGTGCGGACTAGCAAAAAAGCAATATCCTTTAAAAATGTCTGTCATTGAAGAGCTGAGAGGAATGTATGCCCTCAATAAACCTAGATTCCTGGAAGTCACCAAATTCTGCAGGAGCGTTCCTTACACGTTACTGTAGAAGCTGTTCGTGCAGTTGCTTTGGCAGTTTTGGAAAGTGCTAGAACAAAACAACAAAATGAAACGCTAAGAGTTAGCTGCAGTATTGGAGATTTTCAAGACCTAAATGGACAGAACCCTGAACTGCCTGGTCTGATGTCAGTTCTGAGCTTGCTTTGAGCCTGAGGAGGTTGGACAAGATGACCTCCTGCGGTCCCTTTCAGCTTGAATTATGCTGTGATTCTGTGACATTAGCACACCAGAAGTGAGTCCGTTTCTGGATACAGTCAATATCCGACACAGCTCAGAATATTTTTAACTCTTATTCAGGAGCTGCAGATGTGGTAAGAGCAAATAGCTTTCTGTAGAAATTTTCCTTAGCCGTTCCAGAATATTTCTTATAATTTGATTTTGGGATATGCCGTACGATATTCACATATGTATGCGGATCCATATGTATGGAATACGTACAAACCCTGCTTTTGTCAAAAAAAGCCTCTACTTCTATAGCCTCTACATAGGAACAATCAGTAAAAATGCTGTAATGCAGTATACTTATTCTGCAAGGTTTTACGGAAAACTGTTGCTTCTGCCAAGATTGAGGCTCTTTCTTTATGTTTACATTCATGCTTTTCATCTGAATGTTTGTAAGAAAAACATATTCTACTTTCTCAAGTTACTGACAGCTTGAAAGTAGTACAGCTGACAAGTTTTATGCAGGTTCATGCGACAATTTATATAAAAATTATTTGATGGGTTTATACAGTTGCCAGTAGCTTTCATGTAGTCATTTTGACTGAATTGAAGAAAAACAGTTGATTTATATGTTGATGTAAATGTTTGGGCTTGGAAAGTTTAAAAAACCAAAAGTCTCTTTCTCTAAAGACAGCAGCTGGACAAGCTGGTTGCTCCCAGTATGGCCCAACCGTGGGGATGGAAGGGAAAAGGACTACTTCTGGAGTTAATACAACTTCCTAATTCTCTGCTGAGTTTTCCAGTTAGTGTAGAACGAGTGCTGAAGCTATAATGATAGAGTTCTTATAACATACCCGCCATCAAATATCCTTCAATTTTTTGTTTTTAATCTCTATGACTTGGGCTAAATTTCAGCTGGTGATTTTGGAGCTTGGAAAAATCTGTATCTACATAATTCCCTAAATAAATACTTACTTGAGAGGCTTTACTGTGTTTCCAAGTCTAGTTTTAATGTTAGAGAATAGAGCTTTTGAGCGGTTTTTTTCCTTTGTATATACTCTGTTAGCCATTTTTCATTGCGTGATTTTTAACTGTATTTTCTCTATGAGTCAACAGTTCTCAAATAGGGACTTCAGGAGCTGCGGTACAAAACTTCTGTGGAGTGATGTAGAGGAGGAACCTGTAGCAGACGGTTAGTTTTCTCTCTCTGTGAGCCACCCCTGTGAAGGACCATGCTACTAATGGTGGGCTAATAGGTTACAGAGGAATTTCTGAGACAGCAGTGGAAAGTGAACATGAGAATTTATGGATTCTCTTCTGGTTCTGTTTACTTTTGTAATCTTTTTTTTTTTTTTTTTTTTTTTTGCACTGTGAGCCTAAGGGGGAGATTTAGGTCATAATAGAAGCTGCTGTTCCAATTCAGTGAAGTGTAAAATTTGTTCAAATTGTGGCTGTGGCTTGTGGAAATACTAATAACGATCTGTGAAAAGGATGAAGTAGGACTTGTAACCTTCTGACTGTTGATCGTGTTACAATTTTCCTAAGACCAAAGAATATTTTATTAGAGAGGTTTCTCTGTTTAAGAAGTAGAGGAAAAAAGGAGGCTTTTTTATTTGAATTTTCAAAACAGTTACGATTATTTGCATCTCATAGATAGTATAGGCATAAACTTTGAAGAAAAATAACTTTTTACTTGTTAGTGTTATTAGACAGTTGTGATTATGAGGCCTATTGAAAACATTTCAGTATAGATATGCTCACAATTTTTTGCAGGTGTTGCTGAGTATTGCAAAATGTTTTTTTTGTCTCTGAAAGAAATTACGATTTATGATTTTTGAGTGAAATTTAAAAGTATCTTTCATTTACTTTTCTAAAATCTACTTAAGAGTATGAAATGATAGTTTGGGGGATTGTATTCTGCTCTTACTCCATACTGACTTTATTTTGGTGTTGCTTTTATTAGCTTCTGTCACTGTTCTGATTTACTGTTTTTCCTATGTACACAAATTTATCATTAATATTCCCAGATAGACAGAACGATGTGTTGGCATGCTTCGTGAAATTTTCCCAAATAGTGGAGTATGTATGAAAAATACTGACAGAAATGTCTAGCTTGATAATTCTTAATTAGTTATTAGTATTTTTTTTTTTTTTTTACAAAACTGAATGCCTATTTGTCTATATCATTGTGGATTGCATTTTAAACTCCGTCACTGAATTTCACTGTCTGTGTCTTCATACAGAAGTGGAACTCTGAGTTTAATTTATGTTTAAATACTGGAATACTTTCAGATAATCTTCTGTATTATTTTATAGGAAGGGACCTCTTGATTCTAAATGCCTACAGGCTTGAGTCAGTATTGCTAAAATTGCTCCAGTACTTTGTCTTTTGTAAAATAATAGCTTGAATCTAAAGAACGTGTTTACAAATGCAGTTCTGCTTAGGTCTGCCATCATCCTGAATGTATATTCTGCTTTTCTCTAGTATACTATACTATTCATATCTTTAGCCCACTACATTTCCACTGCAATAATCCAGATAGTGTATACTTTTGCCCATTTCAGATGTAATGTCAATACATTTCTAATTGCTTGCCAGACAGAAAGGAGGGACAGAGATCTATGGGATATAAGTAAGTAAATATGGAAAGTCAGAATAACTTTTGTTAAAGACAATTACACTATCTTTAACTATCATAAGTTATAAGCCTATCAGTCATTGAGACAGAGAAAATTAAGCTGTTAGGGAATTCTCCTGTACATTTCTGGATTTAAGAAAAAAAATGTATTAAGCACAAAATGAAATCTTCTTGAGACTGTGTTTTTTTCATATTGTGCTAAGATAATTCTACAACTTTGAGCCATGAAATTAAAAGCAAATGTGTCTTTACAAGAGCAATATAAGTCATTGTATAACTGTAAACCTTTCACATTTCCACTTATGCTTGCCTAGAGGAACCACTCGAGTAATATCAGCCAATCTACCTTATAGTCACTTATGCAAGCCTCTGTATACAGACTTATTTTGTGAAACGTTTTAAAGTGTAAAGGACATGAACTACTTTGTTGCTTGTTTATAGTTTTTTTGGACCCTGTGACTTACAAGTTCTGTTCACGAGAACCTGACTTTGAAAAATGTGGCTCAGATTGGGGTGAAGTAAAGAGGAGAAATGGTCTCTGCCCAGATACCTTACAATTTTAAATATAAATGAGGAAAATAGATATATCTATTCATGACATGATAGCCTAGGTCAGGTTCAACCCATAGGATATTTTCATTTGTCTTGCTAGCGTTCTGCCCTGCGGAGAAGAGAAATTGTAATTGAGACAGTAGTTGGCCACAGCGTTGCGGCTCCTTCTAGGACGGAAGGAGGGAAGTGAGATACAAGTTTACTCACGAGAGTTGGTTTCTGCTCCTGCTGTTATTGAGGAAGAGGAACAAATGTGGGGAGTAGCAGTGGTTATCACTTTCTGTGAGTGGGCACTGTCTGTGAGTGGTATGCATTGCTGTGGCTAAGTATTTATTCTGGACTCGATGTGGATGGATAAGCTGTTGGTATGGCTAGGCCATAGTGGGTAAGTGTCCTTAATTAAAGAAGAGAAAGGATTAAGGAAATTTGTGCTTTTGAGAGGCATAACATTGAAAATGCGACAATGTAGGAATTACAGTAACAAGGGGAAAAAGTATTCAATCAATATGACCATAAAGGATTTGTAAAGATACGATGAGAAGTGTGTAAAATTTGATGCAGGAGAGAATGTTTAGCTGTACTATTTCTAATAGATTAACAAAAAAGCTCGGAATGATGTTGACTGCATATATCCTGTAAAGAGATGTTTTCCAGAAGAGTACTAGGAGAAGTATTACAGAATAAATAAAAAAATTAAAAGAATCTAATAATACATAAGAGCTACATAAGGGGGAGGGACAGCACAGCTTCCCAAAGAAAGGTAAACTGAACGTATGTTGTTTCTGCAGTAACTGGGAGGAATGTAGCATGTTGTAGGTACCAGGAGAGATGAAATGCTTTAAACTTTTCTTACAGGGTTAATGGAACTGGATGGGAAGAGGGCTAGAAGCAACTTTCGTAGTTTCATAAATGTAGTAAATGCAATTTTACAAGGTCAGAATGGAAGTTCTCACTTTTAATACACATTCATTTTTTTAAAGGGCTGTGAGTTCAACAAGGCTTGTTGAGTGTGCACGTGTGCTTTATACGCTAGGAGTGACTACGCTCCCAAAGAAGAGTGGTTGAGTAATTGAAGCAGGATGTAATAGGTCACCTTTGTCCTTTCTCTACTAAATACTTCAGCCTTGGTTTTATCCAAAACATTTTGAGTTCCAGGGAAGTGGAGAAGGCTGACCCTGGGGGAAACTGCCTGTTGAGAATAATGTTTCTTTCATTTTGACACAATCATTCCTGAAAGGTATATCAACATGTTCCTCTCTATAAGAGAATAGTTAATATGAGTTAATAGACTGTTTTTTCTGTTTTGCTCTCAACTGCTATACCTTCGCAAACCCGTGTGCAAAATCTGTGGATAAAGGAGGGAATACTGAAATATCCTTTTACTGCAATAAAGACGTGGAGTCTTTGCAGTCATGTATAGTACACATTTTGCTCTCTTCAAAAGGAAACCAGGTTCATAGGTTCTGGTAAGGAATGAAAATTGATACTTGCCCAAACTGTGCAAGTTCCTGTGTACGTCTGAGGAAGCCTGGCTCTTTTTACCATTGTTTGAGGATTTTAATTGGCTTAGGTTTTGGACAGGACACAATGTTTATATTTTTTGCTCATCTGATGGATAAAACAGTCTGAAGGTTTTCTGATTTTTTTTTTTTCTTCCCCCCCAGCTGGGCTTTTGCGTACTGTCTCCAATTTCAAAATCAGAGAATCAAGAAAATTTTAGGGAGAACTTCAATGAAATGTTCAAATGGTGATGCATATAATACTGTCTGAAATAGAGGAACCAAAGATGAATGTTGTGCCTACTATGATATCATGGTTCATTACAGCACTGAAGAATAATGTGTAGAAAGAGCTCAAAATTGTTTGAAGGCATCAGGTTTTTTTCCTTACCTGAGTCATACTGCTTTAAAGGTTATATTTGAGTTGGCTTTTAAAAATTTGTTCCAGCTTGTATCATTTGTTATTTGATGGGAGGATTTTTTTTTTTTCATTACATGCAGGACAGATGTCTGCTCTGCACTGATTTAGCCTCATCTCATTTTCAGTAAGGTATGATGACAATGGTAGTAACATATAGTTGACCTCAGTAGTCAGATAAGGGGGAAGTCACACAGAAAGCTTTATGTTTATTTATGTGATTTTGAAGTTGTTATGTTAGATAGTAGCTGGCTCATATGAGACAGTAGATGCAAATTATTTTCTGAAGCTTCACTGATCAGAAGAAAAGAATATTTTAGATATTTGATGTCACAATTTTAATGGTGGAAATGCATCTTTTAAGTTGTTTTGAGTGACAGATATTTAAATGTGATTCGTTGCAGACTGCATGGCAATGCATTTTGTGAAATCTTTGTTGAAACATTTTATTAGAAATGTAAGCAGGTTTGCATTTACAGTTTAATCATTTCAAAAGTAAATTTCAGGATAGTGTTTGGGAAACTAGGCTGCATAGCTCCCATTAACACTCCTGAGAATTTGTGATTTGTTTATTAAAGTTCAAGTTGACAGTTTAACTGCTAAGAAATGTAGTTTCCTTGAAGTGCTCTGTATAACATAGCTAATGGCAAAATGTGAAAAGAATTTCATCCAGTATTATTTCACATTTAAGCAAAAACATTTGAATCCATATCAGTTTACTAGAAGCTGATTAAAATAAGCTGATATTCCTGTTCTGTTTATTATGCTGATGGCTGAAAGGAGTAAATGCTACAGACAGGTCTATAGGAGGTAATTAGCCATAGTGCCATAATTGCTTAAGGTGATTCTGATCCTTATGAAAATTTTTGGAATTTCTTAGAAACAAAAGAAAATACAACATAAATGTGCTCATATATCACTATTCTTCCTTTGGCATATAAATTATATCACCTCCAAGTTATTTTGGGGACTGAATTCCTCTAGGCTTGCTGGATCGTAGCAAATCATTCAATTTGTAGGAGAAAAAAACAACAAACAAGTTGATTCTTATTTTCAGATAAATGGTTTGGTCTTTGTCTTGTGGAAACTACAGCTCTGGCTCAGTTCCCAATAATAGAGAGTTCTGACTTTATCTTCCTCAGTTATGCAACCACTTGTCTACAACAACCATTTCAGTGTATTTATCTGATGTATAGAAAGAAAAGAGAATTTACCTAAAAAAAAAAAATACTACACAGAACTACTGAGAATGCACCATTTTTTTTCTTCTGTTGTCAGCTATTTTGATAACATGTGATAGATTTATAATTGCAGTAGGTTTTTAACCTCTTTTTCTACTCTTTGATGATTTTACCATTCCTTAATGGTGTTCCTGACCAGGACTCCTAAACAGTGGTGAGAGAAGCTTGTTTTATGAATGTTGGGGGATTATTTTTCTTGGCAAGTTATTATTCTAATTCTAACTTTGTTACTTGTATGATATGCTGGGCAGTTATTTTGAGACAGTTTTGGGAGAATCTGATTTCCCACAGTCATGTTTAAAAATGCTGTGCTCTTCAGTGGACATATGTATAAAAGGCATAAACCTGTTTTTCCCTCATTGATTCTTGATTTTTTGTGAGTTTTTTTCCTTTCAGAGGCATCACTGCTACTTTTGGTCATTTTTAATACATTTTCAAAACTGAGGAGCAGTAGGGCTCCGCTTTCCCTGAACTGTTGCTTCCTAAATATGCTTTCTGAGTCAGTTGTCTTTTTTATGATGTACTCGCATGTAAATGTGGTGTTTGCAATAAGGATTTATTTGGTGTCGGTAGAAGTTTTTCTGTTGAATGATTGAATGCTTAAGGAACGTCGAAAACCAAACAATTTGTCCTTGTCTAGCCAAGCCAAACTGTAACTGTGAAACTTTCTACGGAGTCAAGACTGATGGCTCAAGGAGAGCTTTCTGTGACCCAGTTGTTGAGTACTTGGGGCCATTGCCTGTTTTGCTTGAATCTTAAGCTGGCTCTGCTGTGAGTTCTCCTTTGGCCTTCGAACTTTTCTGAAGAGTGTGGACTGGTAGATTGACTGCCAGCAGTCTATTTCGTTTTTCTATGTGTATTTCATTAAAAAGACTTTGATGGAGGAAGTGAATTTGTTGAATTGCTTCATATTACTTAAGAGTATTTAGTTGGTTATAATGTAAATCTCTATGCAGATCGCTCTTCTGTGATGTTTTTTGGCGGTATTTATGTTGTCTTTTTTTCTATTCTGTTTGACAAACACCAGTTCTTTCAGTTATCCCCTGTGTCACTGCAACCCTTGTACAGAGGTACTGCTATTAAATTCTTAGTTGTGCCCCACGCATTGCTCATTATCAGGAAGGAAGCTGTTCGCTTTGGGCTTCCAGAATGGGAGGGAAACCACTGCATTGGGCATCAGTGTCACTGAGTAGGCCGACCCCTGTAAGAACTGAAGTTTCAGTAGGTATTTTAATAATGAGCTATATACAGTTCAGGAAGGTGGTAGCACCTAAGGTAAAGTTTTCATTGCATGGCTACTGATTCAGGCTTATTTGTCTTTCTGGGCTTTGATTCTGTGATTGGGGTTGTCTGACTATTTAAATACTGAGTTAAATGCTGTTGAGTTGCAGTGGCTAAACTGTCTGTTTAAATGTCACAGGTAGAGGATGGTGATGATGACGAATCACGAGAGGAAGAAGAGAAGGAAGAGCTGAAAAGCTATTCAAGAAGAAAGATTGTTTCCAACTGGAGCCGCTATGAGGATGCAGAAAAAGAGGGACAGAATGAAAGTACAGAGTCACAGAGAGGAACAGACTACAGTGTTTTGCTTAGCTCTGCAGGTAAGCATTTTGTGTTCTGTATACAGGTTTTCGGTTTTGCATTTTGAAACTTTATGTAGTTCTGGCTGTTTGTGATCCTGAAACAGGACCCTAGAATACTGTTTCTCTCTGTGAGAGTAAATATGCCACTGACTGTTTGGGAGAGTTTAGAGTCTTCATGGGAGCAACCATGTCACATACACGTTGCACCAAGCCATAGTCTATTGGGGAGTGAAGAGGGCTGCTGCCTTTATAGCCTTATAAAACTACGTAGGGCTCTGAGTATGTTTCCACTTACTTTGAGCCTATTCTTGCCGATAATGAATTTCTTACTGACCTTGAAGTCATTGAGTTGTTTTCTGAAAACAAAAAAGATTGTTAGTACAACTCAAACAGCTGCTAGCTGTTGATTGTTTTGACAGTGATTTGTAATCAGCACTGTACAAATCTTTCACATGAACAGCAAATTTTGATCTCTTTGATAACAAAGATCAGTTGTTTTTCCATCTTTAAAGGGCATACTAGAAGAAACAGGAGGAAGGATAGACTTCACTTTTTTTTTTAACTACACAGAAATAGGGCTGTTGTGCAAAAAAGTGTTACCTAAGACTATTTTATAAAGTGTTGATGTATGCCATTGTGTTAGAAGACTATTCTGCAAAAAGCTACAAGCAATCTCTTACGATTTTTTTTGTGCACCCTGCGAGCTCTGATACCGATCAGATGTAAATGTTTGGAATTTTCAGTCACAGCTTACAAAGAGAAGTTGGGAATTATCTATAGTAAAGAAGCAAGGACCAGAGCTTTACATCTGTGTGCCAAAATCAGTTTCTGAAGTTGTTTTGCTTAAGCACTGTGGATTGGGCCCAAATCACCAGTTTTGATCATAGGATCGTAAGATGTATATTGACTTCGCCGAATGGTATGTCTGCATGATAAATGGTGCTGGAGTCAAGAAACATGCCTGGTATGGACCTCAGAATCAGATAGGTGAGACTTTCTGGAGAGCAAATAGGTTTCACAAATCAAAACTTGTTTTGAAAACAAAACAAAACAAAACAAGAAGCCTGCCTTGCATTGCATGTTGCCATGGAGTTTGAATATCTCAAACTTTATACATAGCCTTCAAAACATCTTTGAAATGCTCTGAGGAATAGTGCTTTTGAACTGAGAATATAAGAGAATACTATATATTTCTACCAACTTGTATTTCTGGTAAGTTGTACTCCTAACGGTTATTACCAACCCATTTATTGTCTTTGCAGATTCTCTTGATGCCTAAAATGAAAATATTGTTAGTAGTCCTATCAGTTCTTAATTTTAAGTCTTTCATTTAAAATGTTCATTAATTTGTTTTAGGGCATATTGTGATTGGTTTTGGCATTAAAATAAACAGATAAGAAACAGCAATGAAATAAACTATTTTCTTTAGCAGATAGGGGAAAAAGTAACTTCTAAACAGTAATACAGATTTCTTGGAGTCACACAGAAAAGTGGGGGATGAGGGGAAAGAATCATATTTTGGTCTTCTCAACTTGCTGTACCTTTGATTTTAAAAAAAGAAAAGAAATGCTCCAGGTTGGCTTAACCTTTTTTTCAAAGTAAAATAATGTGTTGACATAACGACTATGATCTCATTCTTACCACAGTGTCATTGTTAATATCCAACAATTTGTGTTGTTGAAAATTACAATTTCAGTAAGCCCAGGTGGTTTAAAAATGTTGTGTTTATAGGATAGTAAATATGTATACAGGAAAACTGACTGAAGTAGAAACTTACACTGCTTGTTTTATGTCTGTTTAAAATGAGAGTTGAGTGCCAGCCCTTCTGCATAGCCCTGGTAATGATCTCCAGCAGTTTTTCCTACTGTCTGATCTTCTTGTAGTCCTTTGCACTCTGATTTTTTTTCATTATTTTGCTGCTCTTAATACAATGTGTATAGTATTTTCAGTATGTGAGAATTTCCAGTGCAAGTTTTAAAACTTACACTAATCAATAACTGTCTGTAAAGCTTCAAATGATCGCTACTCTCTCATTAACAGTAGGAAAGCTAGGAGAAAAATGAATAAAGGCTTTCTGTTGTTTAAAAATCTGACTTAGTCTATGGAGAATAGATTTCTTTGATCTTTAAAGTTTTATCTGCTATAAATGCTCTTTTAGAATTTTTAGAATTATCTTTGTATTTTAATATAAAATTAAATTTTAGAGTATTACCTACTTACAGTACATTTTTTAAATTTTCATTTAGCTGTGCTGGAATCTTTTCAAAAATATTAGAATTATACGTTAGTCTACCATAGCTTTGAGACAGATTTTGATGTAATCAACTTTTGAGAGATGCTTGCTAGTAGCAGAAGGTTCACTGACAGTATTAAACAGAAATAAGTAAAATCATAGGTGCATGTGATGAGTTGTTTTCGGTCTCAGCATTATGAAGAGATGTTGCTTGTGCTGGGCAAATTCATTTCTTCCCATCTCTTTTGTTTACATTTCAACTAATTTAACAGAGAAGCATTAATGAAGTGTTGTGAAAATATGGAAAAATTAGTGGAGTTGCACAGTGGCAAATATGGGTGTTTATGTTTTGCATAAAGCTAAATGTCCCTTTGGTTCACCTATCAGTATCTGTAGTACAGCTGTAAGTCTTACTGTGGTCTGATCTTGCTTTCTTGCTGTTATTTGGAGTCCTTTGGCTTTTGGATCTGGACTATAAAGGAACAAAAAAGAGGTAGAGTTTACTCCCATATTTTATGTATTCATTTTGAGGACTGTTGGAATGGTGTAGGAACAATCTCAGTAGGCGATAGGTCTGAGCCAAATGCCTGAGTTTACTGTCATTGGCCTTGTGCACTTGGAAGAGAATCCAGGACGACATATTTCAATTGATTGTATTTATTTTAAGAATAAGTGTCTGTTCTGTCTCCTGTCATACCTCTCTGTAAAACTGACGATGTTTTGTAAGTAGGCCCAGTGCGTCCATGTGGATTGAGATTGTCATCAGTATTTGTAAAATGTTTAATTTTTTTTGTGGTGTTCTTAATGAGCTTAGGTTACCAGTTATTATGAAGTACTGAATAAGTATGTATTTTTATCCCCTGAGTAGAAACAAAGCTTTCATTCTTTGAAACAATTTACAGTTAGAAATACATTATTCAAAATCTATGCGTCTTCCAAAAATAAAATAATTGTTTGAGTAGCAGAGCTGTGCTCTGACACACACAGTTTAAATGCCAGGTGTGTTTTTGTTTCAGTAGAAACTCATGTTGATATCTATACTTTGCTAACACTAACTTTTTGTTTTAATTTTTCTAGTGGTTTTAGTGGTTATGTTAGTCTAGATGCATCTTTTTTTGTTTCCTTTTTTTAAACTTCATAGTCTGGCTCGAAATGAGAATTTTTTCTGAAGTCCTTTGTTTTACATTCACATGGCTTGAAGAAAATGATTGTGAATATGTTAACTAGAACAGGAAGATGAAACAATAGAAACAATTATAAAGGGGAAAATACAGTGAACGTTCCTATATGCTTTTGAATAGGAGTAATAACTGAAAGACTGATTACTGATCATCTTTGTTTATTACTATACTCTGAATTAGAATGGTTTTAAAGTTGATATTTCAGATTTCATTGCCAAGAACTCGTACAGTTTGTACCAGACCAAAATATAACATTTCATCTATCAGTCTTTGTTTGCATCGTTCTGCTTGCATACAGATAATATCTGGACAGGGAGCAGATCATTAAATGTGTTTGATAAATACTGTGGAAAATTCATTTTAAAACAGTGAACCTTCATTCTTCTTAGAATTAGAAATGCAGTTCTCACTTGCTAGCTAATACAAGCTGCTGAATCTGCAGTGTAGATAACATTGTGTAGATACTGGTGGATGAACAAAATCATGCTTGGCTGAAGTAGAAAGAAAACGTGTATCATTCTGAAATGAACGCTTCCAAAAACATGGAACGTGAACTCACACTGTGGTAAGACTTCTTGTGGTTAACTCTTTCTGTGTCATTCATAATATGCCTGCGTTGCTAGATCTGCTTTTTTCCTCCTTCGTAGCCAGGCTATAAATCATTCTGAATAATAGGTTTTTTCCTCACCATAAGCAGGTGAATAGTCAGAACTCTTCCAGAATGAAAAGATGAGCTGTTGCAAAAGTACTAGAGTTGATGTAAAAGAGCGGAAGTGTTGAAGGGAATTCTGAGTTGGTCTCAGGCTGGATTGAAGACCTACAGCAGGCGCAGTGCTGAGTTGGAGTTGGATTGGAGCTGGCATGTGGAATGGCTTGCCTGATACGGGGTGTGTGAATATAAAAGTTGTTGAAGTTCAGAATTTATCTGAGAAAGAGGGAAGCTTGTATGTGTAGTTACTGTAGTAGAAAATGTCACCCTTTTCTTTCTTATTCCATATAGGAAGTGGGTAGTTAAGCTACCTTAGGAAGGGAAGCATTACTGAGTTTGAGGGTGAAGAATGTGGTTAATCTAGTTCCTTGCATTTGCAACATTAGTAATTTTAAAATAATTTGTCATGTGATGGGGAGAAAAATCACATGTAAAGGACAGTATACGTGAAAGTACAGTTTGACACGAACACAGAAACAGCATCAGGTTTCTGAAACTGCGGGTTGTATTGGTTGTTATTTTTAACTTGTGATTAATCCTGTAATATCAGAGCCAGTGTTCTGTCATTTTAAGTAAGATTCTGCTTTGTGTCATACCTTGTGACTTTCCTTGACTCCAGTTATTGCAAGTCCAATATGCTGTGGTTCACTTCTCATCTTTTTCAGATACCAATAAAGTTAGCTGTCCCTGGTCTCAAAAAAAGGATTGTTAAACCGTTTTGACTCAATTGAGATATCTGGTCTAGCACTTCAGAGTTCATTAATTTGTTGCACAATTGAACAAGTTGATTCTGAGAATTGTTTGCATTTGTTACTGATAGAAAAACTGGATAGCGTTAGAATTTGAAATAGCTTGATACTTTATTTCTAAAAATGACTCAATGAAAACTTGGGATGTCAGTGTTTGCTAGCTAATTAAAAAGGGACTTAAGGGAAAAAACATCCCTTGGATTAGAAAGGTGGTACTGGTTACTGTCTTACATGTTAAATCTCTCCCTTTTGTGTTGAGTTCTGCAGATAATGATTTCAAGCATGAAATGAAAGCTTTTCTCCCTTACTTCTTGGGTTTAAGAGCATTATTTCAATAGAATTTGTTTTGTACTTGTGATCTTCTTAATTCTCTCTGATTGTATAGGTTTTTATTTATAGACATATATAGTCCATTAATTTAAATACTGCCCTTCTTCCCTTTTGCCCATATAAAAATATTTCTCTTGTATGTAATTTAAAATATTCCTCCAGCTTTATGGCAGAGATGTAATATATTTATTTTATAATCAGGAATGTCTTCAGCCTTTGTGCTGTTCCTACTGGTAGCCTTTTAGACTTAATTTTTTTGTATGTTAATTAATTCAAACTGACTGTAAAGCAACATGGCTGTAAAGCAAGATTGTCTCTTGTAAAGTTATCTTTTAACAAACATTCATAGCCACTTGATTTTTTTTTTCTTTTTGAAGTGTTGCATGCTCTTGCTCTTGTGCTTAGTTTCTTTGGCTTATGTGTGAAAACTGAAAACGTAGTGATATTTTTGGTGATCTGAGAAGAAGCTTGCATCTCCATCTTATCTGATAATTTTGAATTCTCTTAGGATATTGGTGTTTTGCATTCTAATGTTGCACAGTAGTGATCCAATGCAGTCGCAACAAACCACTACAGGAGTTCTAGAGAGGGAATGGAGGTAGAAATTGCTGCTTTTCATCACTGCAGAAGCTTAGAAGGATCTTGCAACTTATTGTAATATGCAGTAATGTAATTAATGTAACCAGTTAGGAATCTAGTGGCAAAACCTTGGATAGAAAACTGTTCTCCTATGTAGTATTTAAGTGCCATAATATTGAGAGCAGGGTCCTACAGAGAATGTTCTCTTTCAAAATACACCTTGGATTAATTCCCTGAAAAAGTCCTGTTAATTGAACAAGGTAGGATACCAAAGATAGTTTGGGATCGCACAGTGGTAATGACAGCAAATTAAGGCTAATAGAAAAACTTAGACAGAGATATTTGTGACTTCCAGGGAATTAAGTTTCTAAACTTGATATTTCTTTAAAATTTTTATAAATATGATTCTGCATGTAATTTGCTAGTTTGAAACAACACATTAGTCAATCCCAGTTTATTCTTTCAAGCTTCCAGTTCTAGTCTCCACTTCAGGCTGTTTTCTCTGCCTTCTCTCCACACTCTTTATCAAGAGTGCTCCAAATCCTATTCACTTACCTAATAGCATTAACTGGAATGCCTCTCTATTCAACTGTTAAAGAGATATTGGCATCAGTGGGATTGCTATATGTATGAAAGATGACACTTTCTATTCAGTGTTGAGTCAGACTCCTGCTAAATGCAGACTTTTTTTATGGGGCTCTTCACTGGCTCTTCACTAATAACCAAAGGTTAGAGAAAACTTAATTCAGTTGCTTTATGGGACTGGCACTTGCATTCAGATCACATAGAGCAGCTCACTGAGGTTGAATTCTTTGGGGACTAATTGTTAAGCTCCAGCAAATCTTGTCACTAAATATTTACAAACTCAGTTTTCTTGAAGCTTGTAGCTCAGCCAAATCTGGGCAGATTTTTCACAAAATGAGCAAAGTATACATCTCAAAAAGATTTTCAAGCCTGATTTCAAGTTGCTAATTCAAGGCACGAAAGTAGTTACAGTTTTCCAAAGGAAGAGCTTACAAGGGCCTCTCGAATGAGAGCTTTTGTCCCAGGTTCTTCCATGGCAGAAAAATGTTGCAGCCATTATAGGACTTTTTTAAAGGTGCTTGTGGGAGGAGGGTGAATAAAAATTACCTGGAGCAAATGCTTAACATGGAAAATTTCAGACTGAGTAGGTAAACTTTTAAGCAGCTGAAAACGATCTTAAGCAAGAACTGTCGGGTGGCTTTGGTAATAGCTGATGTTACCAGCCTCACAGAACTGCTTTGCTAGGGATTATTCTGTTTGTTTATCGAGTAAGGTGATAATTTAGTTCTTATCTCTCTTTCTTTACTTTTTTAGTAATTTCAGATCATCTTTTTGTTAGAAGATGTGTTTGTACGTGTATATAAAATTATATATATATTTTAATTAAAGTTGAAAAAAGCAAAGCAAACTATTTTCTGTATTGCTTTTGACATCTAGCTGCTGTAAACTACAAGTCCATTGTGAAGCCTACAGGGAATATATCTGGAATCAATTTAGTAAAAATGCTACTGAAGCGTAAAGAACAAGAGAAGTGGAAGTGATAGGATAACCTTACTTTGCTAGAAGAATCTTACCGTATTTGAAGAGCTGTCCTCAATTCTTTGACTCATCAGTGTTAAGTGCCCCAAAATAGATTTCAGTCTTTCCTTAGGTTTTGGTTGTGAATAGATACTTTAGGTTTAAAAATATGATGCTAAAATCTCATTACAGAGCTGATCAAGGACTGTTCAATTTTCTTTCTACATGTTAGGCATTACCACTACAGAAAAAGCTGCCAATATACGTATTGCAGTAGCAGCATGCTGGGTTGCAGGGTGATAGGTATCAAGGTGAAAAATATGATTTTGGACATGAATTTCTTCCTCTTTTTATTTTGGCCATGGCTGGATGATTCTGGTGACCTTAAGAGGCAAGGAAAAGAGAAGATGTGTAGTTCAGATTGGCAGAATGGTTTTGGTGTTGTAAGAACGCGTATAATTTATGTAGGTCCTTAGCACTTGAATACTAAAATAAATGTGGAATAACAATCAAAAGAGCAGTTCCTGGAGCGTAATAGTAACAAATGGTAAGTGCAGGAATTGTAAGGTAGCAGTGCTTTCCATTCCCTAAAACACTGGGTTTTTTTTTGTCTTTTTGACCTCTTGCTTTTGAGCCTTTCTGAGTAATTTTGAAGAGTGTATTGCATTGTATCATTGCATTTTTGTCATCTTCATGGTTGATATATGCATGTTAATATGAGGATGAATTAGCAGTATGCGGAAGACTGGATGTCTTGGAAAAGCTGAAAAGATAAACTTTGGGAGCGAGGCTTGTGCTTAAAGTGAGGATATACTGACAGAGACAGAAAAAACTGTAAGGTGAAGAGCAGTTTTCTTATTTCCATGTAAATACTGTTCAAGCAAAGAAGAACAGAAACGGCAAGGGCATGTTTATGATGCTAAAAAAGGATCCTTTGAGCTTTTAAAACTCTAGAGAACAGTTGAAAATCAGTTATTTTTACAGAACTGCCTAACTTGTTGATATGGATTATTGTAGTATATATATCAGGGCTTCCATGCTCCAGTGGTGTTTGTTTCCCAAGTTCAACTTACTGTTGTTTTGTATGCTTGCTCTGTGGAATTGTTTATGCCCATATGTCTACACATAAGCTTTCTTTTCTGGAAGACACTCAGATTTTCCACTTCGTTTTTCTACTTGAGCAATTTTACTCATTGATCAGCAGATCCTCAAATAGGAAAAATAAGATGGGAAAAATCTGATATTTTGTACCATGTTATAACAAGATAATATTCCTTGTTCATTTTCATGAAACTTGGGCAGAACACAATTTGCTCTGATTTCATTTTAAAAATATATGTATTATTAATATAACTCTTAGAGGTTAAAAAGTTGCTTTGGTCCCCTTCCACCCCCTTCTTGTGCCAATAAAGCAGGCAGAGATGTATCAGCGTAGAGAGGCTCACAGAGCTCTCCTCTTTAAAGGAGAGATTTTTAGAAAAAGTATAAATATACTTATTTTAACATGCAGGTATGCTCCCCGTTCTCCTGTTGGATTCAGCAAAATAGATGCGTAAAATCCCCAACTCACAGGTGCTGGTACAGTGTAAACTGATGTCACGTTGCATCTCTGTTTCTTCTGCCATTGAGATATCTAAAGTAATGCAGGATTGTTGTTTATCAGCTCTGAGAACACTAAGTTAGAAATAATAAAAAATATTCTTCTATTATCTTTTCATATCTTTATGATTACATGTGGAGCAGCTGTATTTTCAGTAAGTTCAATATATTTATTTATAAGTAGAATGATATACACTAAATATTTGACCAAATATGACTTTTTTATATATATATATGAGAGATTATGATGTATGTAATCATATTTGGTCTAAAATTCAACAGAGGCAAAACTTCACGTTGCTGTTCGGAGGTGGCATGAGCTCCATGTAGGATAAAAAGAGAGGTATTAGCTATCATGTAAGCGGCACAACTTTAAGATATTAGAACCAGGTTACTGTTCTTGACAGAAAGTTACACTGCTGCAGCTGAGGCTCTGTAATAGATCACACGAATGTTCCTACCTTTTGTATGCTCTCCTGATATAAACGGTATAGGCATGTGCGTTATTTCTTTTCCTCATGTTCTCCTTCTTTTGCTATGTCATTCCCTAAACGCTCTCTGAACTTCCCTGACATGCTTTCCTCTCCTGCTTGTCCGCATAGTCCCATTTCAGCACATCAGAACTTTCCTTTCCTTTTTGGCAGTCATATGATAGGACAACCGTTTCCCCTCTGTGGAGACTGTTCATCCAGGGTGGTCTCATTTTCACCTGCGTGGGTCTTAGTCATGATGATTATGCAGGGGGCAGTCCCCAGCTACGGCTTTGTTGATAGACCTGAGAGATACTGCTATTTTATGTGCCTGTAGATCAAGGAGGAATCTGAAATTTATACAAATGCAACCTGCCCTCCTCCCTGCCCCCCACCAAAAAAAAAAAAAAACCTTTCCCAAACAACCCCCCTCCCAACCAATAAAGATTTGCAATAAAATCACAGGATTTGGTATCAGTGTAAGCTGGTTCTCCATCTGCTCAGTGCTTCCTCCTGAACTGTTCCTAACATCACAGAAATTCATCTCTTTTGACCTATTCAGACAAGCTGTCCCTTTTATTTTCCTGAGTGAATTAAAAATAGGAAGTGCCAGATTTTATGTATTGTGGAAAAACACAATCAAGAAATTTATCAAGAAAATTTAGTGGTTAATCTGTGTTCAGCAATTTATATTTTCATATATAACTTCCTCCCCTATTTTGTGTCTAAAACACACTCAAAACTGTGTGATGATTGAAGTAGAATGTGATTCTAAGGCTTGAAGTACATAAAAAAGTAGCATAACGCTTCTTTTTTTCATTGTAACATTCAGATTTTATCTCAGAACTATATGACCATCTATATTGGTGAAATTACTGTGAAACTAATGGCAAGGAATAGAATAAAAAAGCTGAATGGTTTCAGTATTTCAGAGCTATTTTTTTGTATGCTTTATGATTTAGAATTGAATAGAGTAAGACTCACAGACTAAAGGGGTTAAATTCTGTTCCCATTAAAATCAGTGGAGTAAGCTTTTCCTCATTTGTGTTTTAATTCTTCAAACTTTGATCGCGTTGACTTGTTAAATTCCAAATTTCTGAATTTAAAAAGTTGTCTGACCAACATCCTTCTCTAATTCTGTGCCATAATCTTTTGCTAATACTGAATATTGAGAATATTTGCACTGAATGTGGTTTAATTACGTTTTGGTTATGAAAACATGAATCAGTTAAGTTTAAATATGGAACAATTTGTCCTCATTCCTATCTTCCTTTTGCCATGTCCACTCTTTGAATTCACAGCCTAGAAACCTTGATGAAAATATCGACTTGTCTGATTCACTGCTTCTCTTGTTTAAGTACACCCTTATTTTTACAATAATCTAAAACCAGGTCTGTCCTGACTAGGGTCTGTGTTACTCATCACCATCTCTGATTTTTCTGCCAGTAAAATTCTTTAGCCAAAAGACCAATTACTCTGACCCTTGCACTCATGCAGTTTGTTTAGCACTCTATACTTTATTTTCAAAGTTCAGCGTGATATTCCCTCTACATTCCTGTTCCCTTTCTCCTATCTTTACTTCTACCTTCCCTCCTTCCTTTGGATTTTCCTTTTACTCCGTGGACTTTGTGATTTTTCATATTGCCCTTGAATTAAACATCTTTGTTTGAATTGATTTTATTGTTCCATTTCAGATTCCTTGTTACATAGTATTTCTCTTTAAGCTTCTGAATCTGAGCCATTGTTAATCACCTGAATTACTGTAAGCTTTGCAGAGCAGGGACTTTGTCTTTTGCTTACCTATAAAGTAAAATTTGTAAAGTAAAATTGGCTCTTTTCTGATAATATTAATAGGAATTATATATACTTCTATGGTAATATTGAGATGTTGGAACCTGGAAGAGTTGAGTTTGTTTTAACTGTAATACTTAATCCACTGTTGTTCCAGCCTGTATAGAGGAAAGCCTACATTAAGGAAAGAGCCATTCTATTTTTATTATTTATGATAAGAATGGTAAGACTATCAGAGGTAGGAGATTGGTTTAATTGCAGAAGCCGGACTTCATTTAGTGTTCTGTTTCTCACAGAACATAGTTTTTCCTACTATCAGTTTACAAAGCGAATGACTGACAGGAACATTTCCTTGTTCCTTGACAGATGCTCCAAAACAGTGTTGTGATCTGACTGTGCGCGTGCTAGCGTTAGAGGAGGCTGACAGATCCATTCTCCTTGCAGAGTTCTCAGAAGTTTGTCTGCAGGGAGCAGTGCTATTTCTAAACACTGGCTTTTGCGTGGAAGGAAGGCTGTGAAGTGGGCAGTGCTCTGATGAGCACAGACTAGCTATTTCTTCCTCAGTGTCTGTCCTAACTCTTTCTTTTCTTCTTGTCCCATTTGCTGGCCTGATATTCCTCCTCACATTTGCTACCAGTGTTTTGGACCCTCCTAGTTTTTCCTCTTCTTTTGATGCTTTCTGAATCAAAATTAAAATCGTTTTGTCCCTAGTCATTCTTTTGATCTCATCCTGTTGCCCGGAGTTCCCTGTTCTTTCACCCAAATTCTAAGCTTTCTAAGTTTCTAAGCTTTCTCTTGATTTTCATCCTCCCCCTTCCTCCCTCCCCCATATTTTTGTCCCTCTCTAAATCACACACTGACTTCTCATCTAGTTTGTGTCTTCTTGTTTGTTCTTCATTCCCACCTCTCTTTCAAGTGAGTCCAGACTCTTCTGAGGGAGAATGGGCATTTCTGGCTGTTGCATAGGAAGGTGGCTCTACTAAGCACATACAAGTACTTTGGGTTTTTTTGTTTCTTTTTTTTTGTTCCTAGAAGACTTGTTTTTTAGCCAGATTTGGGTAGAATTGCGTGAAGAATGCCAAAGGCATGCTAGACTTTACCAAAGTCTTTGTTTCAAAATGGGAATGATTTCTTTGTTGTATTAACTGCAAAAACAGTTAATGCAGGGTCATGGGGACTTTCAGCTCATGGGCACTCTTCTGTCCTGTTGTTGTCCTTTCTTGCAAACCCTCCATGTGTGTAAAATTGTGAACTAGAACCTCTTTTAATAAAAAGCATGTTTGAGGGATGGAATAAGGTGTGAGTGGGGAGGAATTATGTTTTGTTTGATTCTGACTCATTTTCAACCTTTACTCGAACGTGAATCAGATGACCTTCCTTTGACAGTACACGCTCATCATCTCAGCTCATAAAAGGTGATATTTCTGCATCTGCTGCAGAGAATTTGGATTGTGAAACTGATAATACCCTCTCTTTTTCTTTTCAAGACCTTGATTGAAAACAGACTGATAATGTAGCATTTTGTTCTTGAATATGTGCATGTGCTTCAACATACAGAAGATGTGTCACTGAAAAGTGTAGCTTGCTACAGAATATAAGGGGGCAAAGGAGAAGAACTCTAATTCAAGATGGGAGTGTTGCAACAGAACGTCATCATTGTAGTGATTTTTGTGTCATAAAAACTGGAGACTATAATTGCAGGTATTAATAGCAAAGAAATTTTCATTTTAGACACTTAGTGAACTTTCTGCTTGGAAAATGGTGGCAGAATTGAGCTGCCAGAAAGCTAAATATCCTTATAAAATGACAGTTGAGTAGTAATAGAAGGTAAATGGGATTAGATTTTCTGAGTAAACTAAGCGCTAAGGAAGGGTACCAGAATAGTAGTCCTGGAGAGAAAGTCTTTGTACTGTTTCAGGAAACAATGCCCTGTTGGCAGTCCTCACTCTCACCTTTCCGATGTCTAAGGAAGTGTGTAATGGAAAGTGTTATAATGGAAAACTGCACTTGGACTCAGATTTCTTTATTGATGGAGTCTTATTACAGTAATTTTTTTCTCTAGGTGTGATCTGTTTGAGAAGTTGTTAGAAGATAGAGCTCAGCCTTTATAACAGGTTTTGCTGTAGGCTAAACCACTTCTTAACTGAAATCCTTAGATACAAATAAGAGTTAGGCTACTAAGATGGAAGTTATGTTTAACTGAAGAGGCAAAAGTCCTTCAAAACCTATTTTGGTTGAATTGCAAATGCTTCCAGATGTTTTGGATTTCTCATGTAGATATATTTCTTGTGCATGTTGCTACCATTTCTAACCAGTTGGCAGACAGACAGACTTGTCCTTAAAGCTGTTGGGAGCTGATCTTGCTTGAGTATCTTTCTGTCTGCATGGGCTTTGTCACAATGTGTCTGGGGTCTTGGGAGTGGGGGAGGCCATTAGTCTGAAGAAGGTTGGCTAAGAAATGAGCCAATTCACACAGCCCAGTAATATTAGCCTAGTCTAAAGTTATCAGTGCTGTTCTGTGTTCGTTATGCAGGTTTTCCACGTATCTCCCAAACTGAAATATAGCGTTAAGTCGTCCATCCACCTGAAAATGCCTAGAATGCAGGCAGGTTTCCTTTAGAGAGTCTGCATAGTCTGGGACCTTCAGCGTTGTCAGCTGTTACCGGTCCTTTGCATGTTGCTTCAGGCAGAACAGTGAGAATGGAAGGTGTTTGCATGTTCCCTTTCATTTTATGGTGCCACTTTGGGTGGAAGCGGGGGAAAAAGGTAATTTCTGTGAGAGTAAAGAACCTGACTTTCACCAAAAACGAGAATGGGAGTCAGCTAGCACTACTTGTTCTGGCTGTAAAATGTGAACTTGGATTCTCCTCTCTCCCCTTTTAAAATACTGGAGAACTACACAGTAGCTGTGATTGGTCGCACTTGTGCCTGGCTTCATTTGATGATGTTTTTCACCGCTAAGTAACTGCATATGCAATTATCAATTGCTTTAGTCGTCAAGTTAGTCACTACTAAAACATGAATTCTGATGAAGGTGACTATAATTTATTTCAAATTTTTTTCTTCCTTTTGTGCATGCATAGAAGAAGCATAATGGGTGTGAGTGTGTTTTGTCTCTTATATGTATCTGCTTCTTTGTTGCTTTTATTGAGTGTTTGTTTTTGTTGTTCTCTTCTGTGTTACACGTTTTGTTATGCAGTTTTTATCAATAAAAATGTATTGAATTTGAAGTGACATTGTATTTTACTTCTACTCTCAATAATAAATCATCATCTTTTCTCTCCTGAAAAAATGAGTTTAAAAGATACTTAAGTGATTTTATGGATTTGGCTCATCACCAGATATAGGTCTAGTTACCTAACAGAGCTGCATGGATGGTGCAAAGGAATTGGCAGGAACATGACACTGAAAAGCTAGGTGAGGAAGGAAAGATCTTGAGGAATCAGAGGAATACCAGGACTGCTAGTAAGGGTAGGGGCAAGAGTGCCTTTTGTGGTGGCAGCATGTGTGTGTA